TTTAATCTGGGGCGCCGTCAGCCATTACGTGTGCAGTTGTGCTGCTACCCACTCCCCCTCAGGTCTCCGCAAGTGTTGTGAGGACTCTAAAACTTCACCAGAGCCTCCCTCAGCATGAGGGTGAGTAGATAATGGCTGAATTTTCATTTTTGGGTGCACTATCCCTTTAATGTCTCAACTTTCTTGATACGATCTGATTTGGTGAGCTATTTACATTATGTATGAGTATTGATCTTCCATGTGTGATAGGAGCACATTTCCCTCTCCCTCATGTTTGTATCAGATCAGATGTGTGTGAGAGATTGTTTCATCCAGGACGAAAACTGACAACACTTGGTCATGACTGCCAGTGCTCTCTCTTTATCTCATTTCAGCAGTCCAGTCTAGCAGCAACTGTCAGAAACAACTTGAGAAATTCCTCCACCGCACTGTCCCATTTTCAGCCTTTACATTCATCTTCCTGGTTTTGAAAGCAATATAATTAAGGCAGATGACAACCCATTACTTATGACTGTGGTGGCTACAAATTATATTTGGGTTTCCAACTTGACTTTTTCTTTTTTTTAAAGCGAATTCCGTGTTTAGCTTTTTACCAGCTTTGTTTAAGCCATGATGTCATCATCGTACATATTTGTTTTGTCACACCATGCAAGCTGTAGTCATCTTTGTCAGTCGAGTTGTTTTTACAGAAGGATGCCCAACTCACACCATGTGTCCTAAGTCTTTGCTAGTTCAAGTTTAAAATACAACCTGCAGTCTGTCTCTCAAAGACTTTTGGGTTCCTAACTAGGCCATTGTAAAGTAAGTGGGACAGAGTTCTGGCTCCTGAGGATCATATCTCTGCAGAGGGATATGGAGAGGTCATATTTGCACAACTGAGTCCTGCACTGGTCCAAAGAAGGTGAACATAAAGTAGATTAGACTTAACTGGCTTTTGATTTAGAGCATTTTTCAAAAGGGTAACTTTGCTGTTTTTTCAACCTAGAGCCTATTTTCCCATGTTTTTGTGTCTAAGGGACACAAAAACTTAGCCACAAAACAGGCGGCAATGTAACCACTCAGGGTAATTAAGATTTTTTAAAATTGGTTGTGGCACAGTCCTCCGTAGATGGTGCATGAGTTACAAGCATGCACAGGTGCATTACTGCTCAGCTTGTGTGTTGCAAAATGCTCTGCCAGGTGGTGTACAAACAAAAAAGTCTATAGATAAGCAAGAAGTTAACAAGGAAGAACGTTACTGGAAAATTAAGCTGCCTGGCAAGAGTAGTAAGCGCCAGTTTATCGAGTAGCCACTCTTCGCTGTGTGTGGTCTCTTACTAAAGAGTCGTAGAGACATCTTTACAGGCGAAATTTTCTCGGCCAGCCTTCCCTGTTTAAGTTCTTGGTTGAACTGAAAAACCCCGCATGCGCAATGGGTGCCTAATTTTTGGAGCCCTCGTGCTCGACACACAAGGGGTGATTGTGTCATTTTCTGGTGCTTGTACCTTGTGCTGGGAACACTATTGCAAGCATACACCATGCCTTATGCGCCGTCAGTTTACAGCTACTAAAATTGCTTGGTTTTGCCACTGACAGGCTCAAACTGCCTTACAGAATTATGGAAAGGATCCCTACAGAGATAGACCATTTTGTTAAAGAGTATGATCTTTTTGTTTAACCAGAAACAGCCCAAAAATTTCCATCACCAAACCTGCGAGAATTTTAGTGTGTATAAAGCCAGCATATTCTTACATCTAACTGGGTAAATTAAAGGTTTATTTCAACCAAACCATAGTGGATTGATTGTTGAAACAGTGGAAAGACAAATCAAGACGGCTTTTGTGTGTTTTATTGTGGTTCTTTTGACTTTGAATGAAGAGTGTGTTATGATATTTAAATGGACTTTGTTGGGTTTGGTGATGGGGATTTCAAGGCTGTTTCTGGTTAAATAAAAAGGATCTTACTCAAGGAAAAGTCCGTCTCTGGAGGGGTCCTTTCCATAATGTTGTCAGACATTTAGATTAATAATCTGAGCCTATCAGTAGCAAAAACAAGAACTTAAAGTGGACATTTGATGGTGCATCATTGATTATGCATAATTGCCCCTAGTGTTTCGTTTTGCTCAGTACTGGACAAGTTTCAAAAATTGTTGTTCCCATTAGTAACTACATTAGTCAGTCAAGTTACCGTTGAAGGCATTTGTTTTCAAACATTACATCATTGTTTCACAGTTGCCTGATCAAATTGATTCTACGAAATGTTTGGTTGTTGCTTAGTTCCCTCTTATTACAGGAAAAGAAATGATTATAACCTCGAGGTGGACATCCTCATTTTTTGCCTCACTTCCTAATTTAGCTTACACCGAGGTTATAGTAGGTTGAGAAGTCAAATGTGTGCTTGGCAATGAGTGGTGCCGATGTTTTTGAAACTGATCTGAGCCAGGGAGGTGAGCCATCCCAGCTGAGGTGTTTGACTACCACGCCAGGCAGGAGTTAGTCATAGGATCTTGCCTAGAGTGGTCTTAGTATCATATGATGGGCCAGCAGGGAGACACACGCTCTCATATTGACAAAAAAATACAAAGCAAAGGCAGTGTGTTCTTAAGCAGATACTCCCTAAGCACCCACAAACATTAAAATGGCAGTTTAAAATGAACCAAAGTGGATGTCCTATGCTGGGAACACTTTACTGATGTGGGATCCCCTGTATTGTTATTGTCTTTAGTGGTTAGTACCCACACTGCTCCCATTACCCATCATAACATTATTTGTGCTGCCAGCTATTGCTTACTGCAGGTTTTTCTTGCAGTATCACTCTTCCTGCTCTGAAGTATAGTGCTACACATGAATTATTTCAGTCAGTGCAGTGTACCACTGTCGAGCAGATGGGTTCAGGGTTACCTCTTTCCTGTGCTTGCACAGACAGAGGCTATCCCCATTAACAGCACTGTGCCTCCCAAAGGCAGAAGATCAGGTTACCCCATCGCTGATCAATGACTCAGCCAGTCACCTGGGAGCTGCAGAGCTCTTTACCAGTACTCATTCTCCTTGGTTAAGTGCACTCCTTCCTCCTTTCATTTCCTACAGCTACCCAGATGAGTGCATTTCCTTCTGGACAACAGATGCACACCTTTAACACTCCCTGTGACCACATCCTGTTGGAGCTGGGAAAAGGAAGCCATTATTGTATTGCTTTTTAACCATATTCCTTACAGTGATGTGGCTGTATCCTGCTGCAAATCTCCTACTAGACATGTGGAGATAGTGCTGTTTGTTATTCAGTGCTGCTGGTTTGAATAAATCAAGGGATGACAGATTTTGTTCTCTCTTAACTCCAGCAGGAAGTAGTTCAATGGTGTTGCTATTGCATATCCTTAGTTGCCCCCAGAGGTAACTCTTAGCCTGTTTATTTTGGAACAGCCGCTAGTAGGCAGTACTAATGTGTTGGAGACTTCCTAGTCACATGAAGGAAAGGCACCACCTATTATTCTGTGCTTCCTGCTCAAATTTATGAAGTTGTGGAGCTTAAAGGAGCAGTTCTTATTCTGCTGACACTGGGTGAGAGGCAGGGTACGCCCTGGACAGGTCACCAGACTATCACAGGGCTGACACATAGAGACAGATAACCATTCATACTCACATTCACACCTACGGGCAATTTAGAGTCATCAGTTAACTTGCATGTCTTTGGACTGTGGGAGGAAGCTGGAGCACCCAGAGAAAACCCATGCTGACATGGGGAGAACATACAAACTCCGCACAGAAGGGCTCCCCCACCTTGAAGCTGTGAGGCGACAATGCTAACCACTGCATCACCGTGCCGCCCAGGATAATATACCTTTAATATATTTGTATTTTATATGTTCTTCTGTAGTATTGGTCAATTGTCTGGAAGATTTAGATACTGCCACATAGAGGAAGAAGGCAGAAACTTCAGCTCTGGTCAAAACTGATTATTTGCAATTGCTGTTTTAATATTATTATGTTGAATTAACACCCAGGTTTTCGTAGCCAACAATGCTATTTGCACCGGGATGGAAATAGCCTTTGTGGCTAGTTACACCTGGGTGCATATTCCTGGGTGTCCTAGCAATGTCGAAATATGACGTTTACAGGAACAGATCTATTCAGCTTTTCTGCTAACATTTATGTACCCAGTGTGCATTCAGCAGCTTTTTACATCCTGAAAACTGAAGCCAATAAGTAAACTAAATCTAAAAATGAGAAGCCAAAGTTGACTCACATAGTACTGGAACCCCACTCTCCTCAGTGAATGTCCTGTGCTTGATCCATTCACCCATCACGTCCTTCTGCATAGGTAGCCTTCATTCTTTACTCTTCCTCTTAACTGGATGTGATGCAAACAAGCAAGTGAACATCAGATTGCTTCAGCATTACCTAACGAAGATATCCCAAACTGCTCTGTGTATCAGTGAGCATGATCGCTTGTTTGAACAACTGCTAGCTCTGGCTCTGTTTTGGTAAAGCGTTGCGCAAATTCAAACCGATTTTCAGAGCAACAGCAGGCTGTTGCTGCAATGTGACTGTTCTCACCAGAGTGCAAATAGACACTAAAATGAATGGATAGATTGTTGTCAGTAAGTTGCATGTGAATGAGGCTAAAAATAAAGTTATCAGCGAAGTGTATTTACAAAGATTGTTAGTTTGTCATGGTCATAAGGAGTAGTTTTACCAGTGAAAAGCCAGTTTCTCACAGTGTCACTCGTCCTGTTCTCAGAGACTTGTTTGTTGTTCAAAGTGCTTTTCTAGTTATTGGAAGATCATGTGTTCATATTTCAGCAGTGCTTACTGGTGCCTCTGAGGCATAGACATTGTGGCGTAGTGGTTAAAGAAAGCAACCTTCAATGAGACTGAGCATCTGTTCTGGAAGAATAACTCCAGGGGAGCTGTTCTGCTGTACTGCAGTGAACACACAGGCACATATATGCCTTTTTTTCTAGAGGATAACCATTCAGAATTTTGTTACTCAACATTTTCCTCTCTTCTCTGGACTTCTCTTAGGTGTAGTTAGCTGACGCGCAGCCATGATGAAATCGGGCGCCACCAAGGTGGGGCTGCCCAAGCCGGGACTCCAGAAGCAGGTCTCCTTGGCCACCTCTTCCTCCACCGCCTCCTCCACAGCCATGAAGACATCCAGATCATCCAACACACTGGCCTCAGACCAGCGCCTTAGCAGGGTGAGTCACAAGGACACTAACATGGTGACACCTTTACCTGAGGGTGAATTAGTTCAGATGATTCATATAACATTACAGACACATACACGGCTAAATGGCTACAACAAGTAGATGCACAACAAATGCGCTCAAGCAAAAAAGAAAGATTTTGATTAGATTTTTTTTTCAGCTCTGACTCCTCAGCCATGTGTCACTCTAGGTAACTAAACTATTTGCAGTATTTTGCTCTAGGGCGTGACTATACCTGGCATGTAGATGCTTATGACAAAATAAAACCACATGGAATGCATGTGACAGCTGCACACACATGCAGCAACCCGCATGTCATAGATGTAAAACATTGAATGAATTTATAATGAAATGATTTTATTTTATTTTTTCAAACTTTTGATGTCACTCATATGTTTGTGTTTTCTGCAACCCAATCGCCAGAAAAAATGTTGGCGTGTACGTTTCTGCAAACCATGGTTACCTTATGATTGCATATTGTTATGTAGGGAATACGTTGAAAGTTACATTTCAAAAACCCTGTGGTTAATGTGTGTTAGGTCTGGGCACTAAAACCACTTGGTTATGGTTAGGAAAAGATCATGTTTGGGCTTAACAAACCTGATTTTGGGGACATGGTCTCCGCTGGAAAACCAGCAATGTCTTGGTAAAAAAAGAAGTGCTTTTCATGCCACTATTTCCTGCTGAGAAACAGATGGGTCCCTTAAAAACACCTGCATTTGGGGGCTCTGAAGCCACTGGGAAAAGAGCCAGGGGACACTAACAACCACCCACATTGGTGGGCCAAAAAGCTGCTGGAAATGCAACAATGACTCGCTAAAATACAAGCGGTTTTGTTGTTTGCTGGTCTTGAAGAGTGGTCTGCAGCTTGGCAGGCGTCCCACCAAGGTGTCATCATTCTCTCCACCTCCCGATTACAGTCAGCTCATATACTAGGTCACTTTAGAAACATCAGTATGATAAGTGTGAATGCAAATGAAACATATTCATGGCTTGCAGAAACATAATGCCAGCATTTTCTTCTGGTGACTGGGCTGGTTTTCTGGGATTTTGGCTGTCTCTAATGTGTGAACGGATAAATATAGAAACAGCAAGATAAAGTATAACAGCAAGGAGAATTATATAATAATACCCAGCAACACTCCAAAACTGAAAACCATCCCCCTCTGGACTTTGAATTATCTTGTTCCCATGCATAAAGAAAGTCATGGCTCCTGTTTCTAGGCATTATTAATTTATGTCCACACTTAAATATGCATATATATATATATATATATATATTTTTTTTTTTTTTTTTTTTTTTTTTATACAAATGTCACCAGGTGAGCTCTGTACTATATTGCTGGTACTTACTGTAGATGTGTTTCTAGCTGAAAAGAGCCAGCAGTGACGATGCCTTGACAAAGCCTGCACTGGGAGCTGCTGCCTCTGGCTCCCGAATGAAAAAGACTGTGACCACTGGAGCCATCTCAGATCTTGCAGAGGGCCGTCCTCGCAGCCTGTCCGGTAGGGGACTGCCTCTTTTATCAGATTATCTTAAAATGACTTACAGAGACTTTGATCACAGTGAACACTATAGTATGAAAACAGTGCAACTAAGCACTTTTGACCACTAGAGGGCCACAGTACACCACTAAAGCTGGCTGTCACAGCTCCCAGTTGCTGCTGGTTACCAGTAGCTTAAGAGATGCTTCTCTTTCCCCTTTTCTCATTTTTTTCTTGTGTCTCTTTATTCTTGTTTGCCTGGCATTGATGAGATGCAGGTGGCTGAGGACTGAGTTTCTCAGGGTTTAGGTCCAAAACTGAGAGACTGGATGCATTCATAGTCGGCTCCTCACACATCTGCTCAGCCGTATCAACAGCAGGCTATGTTTTGGTTGACAAATGAAGAAAAATGAACTTTTCTTCTATCCAAGGATAAGAGACAGAAAAATGATGTTGTGTGGTGTTCTAGGCTTGTCTTCTAATGTTATTTTGCTTCAGTGTGTGCTTGTGTTTGTGTACAGTAAGTGTTGATGTGTGTTTAAGCAAGTTATACAATTTTAAACACAGAGAAACACAGAGCTCTAAACAAAAAACTCATGTGACTCTATTTCTGTCATGACATTATGTTTTTCGCATGGCGAAAAAAAATACTCTGAATACTTTAAATGCAAAACCAACCAGGCAGGATAGGTTGAGTGTGAAGAGAAGAAGTTATCACAGATATTTTTATATTATTAGAGTAAAAATTAAATACATACATACATGCATTACGTATATATTAATGGATTTTATTTTTTATCTTTTTCTGTCTCTACGTATGTTAAATAATCCTCAAAAATGCAAAAACAAAAATTAAAAATTAAGATATCATGTTGGGCATAAACATTGTCATCATAATAAATAGAAAAATCATTATTATTATTATTATTATTATTATCAATTATTTTATTTGGTTAAAAATTAATTATTTAAAATTTTCCCTTGTTCATTTATTTATTTTTTACTTATTTATTAATTTCTAAGGGTGCTTTTTCTGTCTGTTGACATCATGTTTGTTTAAAAGAAGCACAACAAATAATGATTCACAATAAAACATATGAGTCATAAATAGGAAAAACATTGTGTTGATCACAGTCAACATGATTTAATATTTACATATGGCCAAATATCAATGCAGAATCAATCTCAGTTGTCTCGATCACACCTGCATTAAAAGTTTGATTTAAAACTTTACCATGCAGGTTGCTAAAACTGTGCAGATTTGATCATGGGATATATTTTACAAACCTATTCCTCTTTTTTTTTTAACTGGATATGTATCCACATTTGAAAAGCAGCATTAAAATACAGTTATAATCTGAAGATTCGTGCTCTGTCGCCCTCTAGCCCCCTTTCTACGAACCATGTGTGGGATATATTTTTCAAAATCCAAACAAAAATCCACCCTAAATACTATTTATACATGGCATGTTTAACAAGCTCTTATGTGTAGTCTTTAAAAATTGTTTATGTCAGGGACCATGTACAAAAATATATTATTTAAAAAAGATGAGATGCTTTGTACCAGATTTAGCGACCAGCTAATTTCCGCGTGTGGTTCCTGGGCAGGTGAAAGGAAACGATAAAACTCAAGAGGAAAAACGATCATCTCCACTACATTAGGACCCAGTATAGTTTACATGTGGTTAAAGTATGATCACAACTGAAAATAATTTAATACAGTGATTCACTGTGCAGTCTTGTTGGCAATGTCTTGTCATTACTTCGTGATCACTCTCATTGTTGTCTTTACCCTGACAGTGAAAATCCCCGCTGTGAAACGCTTTTCTAATTGCTGTATGATGGAGCTTCATCACCAGTGTTCAGCTTGTATCAAGAGATGTGTGGAATTACACTATTACACAACATCTCAAGTTAATTGAAGGTTACCAAGACATGGTACATTGATAATCTGTGGTATTTTTTTACATTTGTAACTGATATTTTATTTATTCATATATTTATTTTCCTTTTTTCCCCCTGGACTTTATATACCGGTGTATATCTTCGTCTTTTTCTTTTTTGTTTTGGGTTGTCTTCTTAACTCGTGTGCCATTCAGGGTGTGGGAAGGGTGGAGGGAGAATTTTAAATACTGGATGGATAAATAAGAGCCCTTTGTCAGGCAGCTGATGAATGTAAACATATGTGGATTAACAAGAATACCATGTTTGTGTACTGATGATAAAACCATCAACTTCCAGTATCACAGGTGCATGTAGAGGCTGCTGATTTGCTGCTATATTCAATGTAATTTCCAATATTGAAAAGTAGAAATTTAATCACAAAAAAAGTTGCATGAAGGAATGACAACCATTTATGGCTAGAAGAAAGATGGAGATACTGGATAGCTGTTTCATAATGTACTGCAGATTATGGTTGTTAGACACACATGGGACAAATACTGTCGCCTCCTGTAACTACACATTGCTGTTCTTGGGGATTTGTGGTCCATGCCGTCTATGCTCATTTCCTGTAAATGAGATTAGAAACTTTTTATGAACTTTCCTAGTCACCCAAAATTCTGTACATCATCAACAAGTCATGATAAACACTTCTCTTAGGTATTTGTATTATCTATTAACTTGTGTGTTTGTATGATCTAGGTGTGCCGCTGGATAAACAGAGTAACTTCAAATAGACCTGACAGCACAACATGCATTACATATAGGACAAATATGGCGGCAGATAATGACAGGGATTAGTTTGCCGTAATGAATGTTGTTTCTTGGAAAATCCTGTGTGAGGCAGATAGCTGTGTTTGTTTATGGTGTCCCATCCACACAGTGTGGAGATGCTGCGCTCTGGTGAAATTCTCCTTCAAAGGGTTGTTGTGCTGAAGCAGAGATAATTGAATTCTACTTGACAAAAGACTCCAGAGGAGCTGAGAACCGAAGCCAAGCGAGGCTCTCGGTTCTTTCAAACACAATTAGACCATGATCAGCTTTCATTGGATCAGGCTCTAATTAACCAAAGCTTGGTGTTTTCACGCCCAAGGACAAGAACAGATTCACACTTTGTTCTTTTCATGATAAATTCATTAGTCTTCCTCACATACTTCTGTGCTAGTTTTGCAAGCCAACTCCTGGTTGCAGACCAAAGTTAAGGAGAGGTATATTGTCAAATAGTCATGAAGGAAACCATCTTTAAATTAGGGCAGAGTTTTGGTGCTGTTATGTAGCTGCAGTCAGGGATGTAATGCTGCTGGACCGCACTGAAACAACACTATTTTGTTTCATTTAAATTCATATAAGTCACGCTTTTAAGTGCTTGACAACAAATGGAATGGTCAAAGTTTTCATATTGGCATTTAAGGTGTTTTGATTGATTCACAACTCATGCACTGAGGAACACGCCAACCTAAAAGTTGCCACTAGCTGCCATGCTAAGGTGTAACGAGTGACTGTGTTTACTGTTGTTAACAATCAGCTGAATGTGTTGTGTTTACTCATAGTGACGCCAGCTGTTGAAGACTGGAACGGAACATGCAGGCGTTCTTGTAAATGACTTCAATTTTACTGTAATCAGTTTTAAATGCATACTAATCTGTGTTTATTATCTACGCCAACTATTTATCTAAGTTACGATGAGCAACCACGGATGCATTCTGCTAATAGTCACCTGTTAACCTTGTTACTCCTTAACCCAAAACACTGTAACTATGAGCGGCACAGTGAACTTTTGTTTTTAATTCTCAGTCTAAAACTAGCAAACTGTTTGCTGCCTTTTAAACAAGCAAATATGAAAAGGCAGCAAATCATCCTTTCATTTTATAGCTATATGTCTAATGTATATAAAGCTGCCACCGTGGGAACAGTGGTTACATAACCTAACGAGCCACAACTTAACCATGAGCGTGCGTCATACTGTAGGTGGACTCCAGTACGTAAACAAATAGAACTACACCCCTGGCTGCAGTTTGCATCAGGCAGAGTGGTATCCCAATGTAAAATGATCTGGGATGTTTGCCATCACTGCAGAGGCAAAAACATCAGTCATATAGGGTATTGTTATTCAGTAAAAACAAGTTGACCAACTTCAGTTCCTTTTTATGTGCTCAGATACACAAAACAAAAATATAACCGCAACACTTTTGTTTTTGCTCCCAACAGATATGATACTTTTCTTTGCACACAGTTTCTTTAAAACTTTGTTCACAAATTTGTTTAAATCCATGTTAGTGAGCGCGTTGCCAACGTAATCCATAATCCATCCACCTGTCTTAAGTTTTTGGGGAGTGTGCCATTGACATACTGACTGCAGGAATGTCCAGTAAAGCTGTTGCCCGTAATTTAAATGTTCATTTCACTACCATAAACCATCTCCAATGTTGTTTCCATGAATTTGACAGTACATCAGACCGCTCTACTGAGTCAGCCCAGGACCTTCACATCCAGCTTTTTCTTTGATTGTGCAAACTCATTGTTTATACTTTATATTTTGCCTAATTAAAACTCAAAAAAGGCAAGAAAAAATTAATGTTGAAATACAGTGCAGAGAGAGGCAAATAATCCAGAGGGCTTATCTGAAGCCTCCACCCAATAACATTTTCGCAAAGTTATTAAGAACTCAAAAGTACAAAGAACAATGTGTGAAATAATACAAACTACTATTAGCAAAACATGTTTGATTGAGACAACAAAAAAACAGCAATAATAGTATCCATTTCAAAGCAGAAAATGTGTGAATATGATGTGGAAGTCAATGTTAGCATAATTAGCCATCTGGGTGGCTGGGCTCAGATGATCTTGCAAGTGAAGACGCTGGATGTGGAAGCCCCAAGCTGGTGTAGTTGCACATGGTGTGTGGTTGTGAGGACGGTTGGATGTACTGCCAAATTCTTGGAAGCAACATTTGAGATGGCTTATGGTATTAGAATGAATATTTAATTCATGGGCTGCAGCTCTGGTGGACATTGTTGCAGTCATCATGCCTATGCCACACTCCTGTACAACTTGCGACATCTGTGGCGTAGTGTTGTGTG